AGAGAGAGAGAGAGAGAGAGAGAGAGAGAGAGAGAGAGAGAGAGAGATAAACATTATATAAATTTAATCTTAATTCTTCAAATATCGTGATTAATGTCAAGAGTATTCAGAAAATTAAATATGACGAAATATCCATCACGTGATGAAAAAGTACTCAATCTATTAGAAGTAAATATTTAATATTGAACAATTTCGTTTACTGTAAAATATTTATTACGATATTCAAACTTTGATGCTTGGAATATTATGTTTAGAATTATTTAATTAACAAACTATCTTACAAAATTTTTTCATGAGTTTTTAAGATGATTTTATTAATAATTAAATATTCATTTATATTTTCATTTGTAATTAAATTCAAAGATTTATCTTAGATTCTAATCGAAATACTCGTTTGAATTTGATTACAATTTGTTTGTAATCAGATTTTCAATTAAATGTGATACTATTGATGAAAAACGTTTTTTTTTGCTTTTAAAAGAAATATATTCTTTCCCACGCATTTACATATGAGAATGTATTGAAAGAAGTTTTTCGTAATGAAAATCAATATTATTCTCAAGAGAAAAGCAATCATTTGAGAAATTCTTGGTCATAGTAATATACTTGGATCTAATTACATGTTTGCAAAGTCATATGTTAACTAGATTTAATCCCACTACGCTATTTAATTACAAAAATGTACTCATGCCTACAATGTTCTTTTGTCTTCATGTTAATTGGAATCGTATATAAGCAAATAATATATTCATATTCTGTTGAGACATAATTTACGACACTCATATTAGTCAAGTTGTCACTCAAATTTTCTTTATATTTTCTTAATCAAAGAACAAGTTTAGTTCATTTAATTATGTATACAAGTAATATTTGTTTTTTTAAGTTGAACGATAGAATTAAATATTTTTGTCTAAAATTTAGATATTCTTTTTTTTTTAATGAACAGAATTAGATATATCTATTTTTTTTCTTATTACAATGTGCTATTTTATTTAAAGAAATTGAACGTTTCTGAAGAAATTTTATCATTATAAAATTTCACTAACAGACATAATAAAACGTTTAGTATATGAAAATTTGTTTCCAGATAATTAGTAATGACGTACATAATAAATCTCATATAAGATTTAATGAAAATAGAAAAGTTGTTTTTTTCTACTAGATAATCTAATTCGGAAATGATTTTTTAAAAAGATTTAGTATTGTATTCTGTTTATTGTAATTATTTTAAAAAACCTAATTTTGCATAAGTAGATGCTTTGGCTTATAACTCAATTTTATTACTTCATATAAGCTAGATTAACAAAATCTATTTTTATAATCTTTTTCAATTTTCATCATAATTAGTAAGTGTAATGGCGCATAAAATATACTGAAGAAATAAATCATCTTTTCATAATGTATTATAATAATCTTCTAATAGCGTGTGAGGTAAAAGTTTTTTAGTAACGTTCCTTTCTTCTATATCTTAGTATAGTACTATTGTACGAAACTAAATTTTGTTTTTAAAGATACTATATAAACTTCATTCACTAACGAGAGAAGTATCCCAACTGATTAATTACTTTTGAGCCGGAAACATGTGAATCATGTAGATCGCAATCGATTATGAATAGTTCGATGAGAATTCAAATACATAGTTTATTACTGTCGACAGAAAAACTGATTTTCGAATTTCAACTTGAAATTTTACAATTGAAACAAGCATTGAGGAGAATAGAGTTAATCGTGAAAGTATTAGACCATTTGATCTGTTCCTTTCCTGAGATAAGAACATTGAATCTATGAATGTATACAAGCGATGTAAAAGAATCACTTTCACAATAGTTATATCTTGGGATAGGAACAACGAAAATATCTGAATATCTCATTAGGATTTACATAATGTACGTACTTTCGGTTCAAAAGTGATTAGTTCGCTGGAGGACTTTCTTCGTAAGTATTTTAATGTCGTATATCGGCTTTATGTTATGTACTAAGTAAGATGACGGAGAAAAGTTTAATAACAACGTTCTTTTTCTATAATGTTAAGTACCTAGCTCATATCTAGATAGTAGTTTTAACAGTCAACGGAGTTTTCTATTCAATGCATTTCATATATAGATTTCTATATAAAAAAAAAAGCAAATACGATAGTTTTTACGTTTGAGCAAACTATTTTTCTTAACGATGCTATTTTAAAGAGCACAAAACAAGGGCACAACACATTCTCTATGACCTTCCTTTAAAAAACTTAAAAGTATCACAAGAATCGAAAAAAAAGGTGTTGTGTAGTCGATTTTTTGATAAATTTCATTTTTTGTGATACTTATAACTTTTTAAAAGAAGGTCGCACTATCGACTATTAAAATCTACTATCTGGATTTGACCTAATTGCTTATTTAAAATATCTCAAAGTAGGAAACAATTAATAAAATATGTTCTATAGAAAAAGATTTCCAACTGTTTGAAATATTTCCAGTATAAAAAGTATTTTATTATGCACGATTGAAATACTTTATAAAGGAAAAAAAAATTAGTAGATCTTTAAAATGTTCATCTATTATAATACAGAAGCAACTCAATGAACTCAATTTTGTTGTCCTACGCATTAACTTTATTTTGTGGTTATTAGATTTTAAATACTTTTATTAGTTTTCATACATTCTTCTTTTCTATTAAAAAAAAATGACGCTTTCATTATGTTTTTTCGGAGAAGCTTAGAAAATTTAATTAATTATCATAAAAAAAAGAAGACAAGTCTTTCTCTAGAATGATGAATTTATTTTTAATACGCATTTTCTTTTGTTATCGATAGTTTGACACTCCTTTTGCTTTTTTATACTCCATGCGAAACAAAAACTAGCAATTGAGATATGTATTGTATGGTTTTTTTTCCTTTGGTGTTTCAGATAATTGCAAAGCTATGATCCCGAATCTCAAAATTGCATATCTATTATTGTTGATTGTTCTTATTGATGTCGGTCAAGCAGCTTTTAGTAAAGTGCCACGTAAATAAATCTTTTAAAATAAAATTAAAAAAAAAAAACAATGATTCGATAACTCTATTTTCTATAGCACCACCAAGACGTCCAGATCATCTTCTTTCACGAGAGGATTTGAAACAATACTTACAAAAAGTATTATTTTTTTCTTTTGGTAGAATATCAATGTAATTGATTATTCATTTTATTATAGGTTCATGAATATCATTCAATTCTTGGTCGATGGCGTCTTCGACGTGAACTTGATAAACTTTCATCTTTGCATACTTTCAATGATGATGCAATGAAATATTTTGACGACAATTATGATTATATTAAAACAAATATATAGTTGCTCAAAAATGAAAATAAATAATTATATAATCATCTAATTATAAGTACATACCAGTACTCGTATTTTTTTTCTTTCGAATGTTTAATAAATATTAACTACTTGTAATTTATTTTATTTGTAGTAAACTAATAATATAAAGATTTCAAATCTGAATGAAATATTCATTTATTAGTTTCTCTAATAAAGTAATAAACTATTCAAAGATAAAAATTTTATTGATTATCTTATGATATATCATCAAATGAATTTATTGATAATATGTTCCTAAGAATGTAACTTTTAAAGTTATTGAATTTATTTTTGTTTTTAGAAAAATTTCTAATTAATTTCAGTAATTTTTATATGTGAATAGAACATCCCCTAGGTTCAAGTTAACTGATGTATGATGTATGAAAAATAGATTATGAGATTTATTCAAAACATTTGACTTTATATACTTATTGGAAATGACAGATTTTTATTAGTATATTCTGAAATATGATGTTTGAAAGAATTATATATATATACTGTACTTTAAGTATTTTGTTTATGACATAAAAGAAGTATTTTTAATCTAAATTTACTTTCATAGAGGAAAAAAAACCTAGTAATTCATATTATATTTTATGTTTATTATTTTAAACATAAATTTATTTTATGAATAATATTCTGTTTTCATCAGAATATACTATTAATTCAAATTGATTTTCGAATATCATCTAATGTCCACGCCAGAATTAGAGAGAATTGTGTGTGAGTGTAAGCTTAAGAACTCAACAACGGCAACAGCAGGCGGCCTATTCTTTTCAGCAATCAAAAGAGGAGAACTTGGAATGTCTTTTTCTCCAATAATGTGAAAGATGAAATCCTTTTAAAAATAATCATCTTAAGGAAACATTCGAAAAAATACATGAAAACGGTCTATTATTTGAGCAAGTCAATACATAATTAAATATTTTCAATGTCGAGATATTAGAAGATAATCATTCGTATTGTGTCTTAAACTATAGATCTGAACTTTTTCTATCTAATCCATATGTAAAAATCTCAATTTTATCGAAACGGCAGACTATTTTCATGTATTTTTTCGAATGTTTCCTGAAGATGATTAATTTTAAAAGAATTTTGTCTTTCACATTATTAGAAAAAAAGGCATTCCAAACTCTCCTCTTTCGATTGCTGAAAAGTACAGATCGCTAGCTATTGCCGTTGTTGAGTTATTAAGTTTACACCCACCCCCTCCCCCCTTTAATTCTGGCGCACACATTAGTTGATAGATTAACATTAGATGAAACTTTGCCATCAGTAGTTTTCTATTAGTATATGATCAATTGATTGATATTTATTTATATTAAATACATAAACTGATCGTGTGTAAATTTTAGATTGTACATGAGTAGGATTTACATGTCAACAAGTAAGAATTGAACTTATCAAGAATGAAAAAAAAAGGAAATATTTAATTTAATTAATGAAAATATTCAAGCATACAACCACAGTTATAAACAAATCAATCTATTTGTTTTTTAAATTAAAATTAAAATTAAAATTAAGTTTAATTTAATAATCACTTGAGAAAATAACCTTTTTTTCTGGATAACTATATGATTTGTAATTAGATGTATATTTCAACATTGATTCTAATTTTTTTAAATCAGTTAAAATCTCAATCTTATTGAATTTTATTGGCGGAATATGTGAAGACAAGAGTCGCACGTACATCCTTATATCAATTTTATCCTTTTTTTTTCACTTGCATAATTATGAGCTAACTAACATTTTATTTTACAGGCGAAAGAGAAATGAAACTAAGCGTTACTCATCAACGCTAATATTCAAATTACTCAATGAAACATGCAAATAGTTAGCAGCAATAAGATAAATGGCGTGATCCAACCTGACCGTACCGAAATGCACTTCATTTCCCTATACTTTTCATATTAAAATGAATTTTCCAGGATGATCCAACATGAAATGAGAATTTGTACCCGTCATATGATGAATATTTCATCTGCACCATTGCAGCAGTATTCTTTAGCCTGTACTATTTATTACATAAAGATATACAGAAATTGAAATTTATCGTGACCTCATTATTCTAAGACAACCTCGTTATAAATATGTCTGCCAACATTATATATTCGACTTTCAATAATTTATTAGAACATTATACTAAATTTAGAAGTCACTAACATTTATTTTTCAGATTATAAAAATACTTGGCAAAAATATAATACTTTTTTCTTTTAAAATAGCACAATTAGAGTCTTTTAGAACATATCTTATCAAAATAGTCTAAATACAATTAACTATTATCAGTTTTGATGGACTACTAGAAAACTTATCGTCCATGATTAAAATTATGAATTAATAATTTAATAAGAAATTTTAACGCATTGAAATCAGTTAATTCTACGTTTAAAGCTTTCAACTCGTAATGCATACGTATAGAAATACAAATAATCTTCTGTATAGATATAATATTAAAAGTTCACTTGTTAAACACAATAACTTGGAGTAACTTACAACACAAAGTACTTCAATAATCATTAAAATCTTTTATGTTATCGACTAGTCTGATCGGCATATCAAAAGCTTCTTAAAAGCAGCCAGCAAAATCTCAATCACATCTAATGATGACATAAGATATAGAATTAAATGAATACTTTAGTAGATACATAATTCAAATAGTAATCATGCAGACAGATTGAGAAATAAATGAGTTTGTATGTAGCCTAATAGGTATGTGTATTTTTAGGTTAGAAAAATAATGTTGTGAATAGATAATGAATAAGATATGAACTTCGATAATCATTTACAAAAAGTCACGTATATAATGATCATTTTGTGTTAAATTACTTTTACTTAATGCTTGCACCAAGGGTATTCTCATTTAAATAAAAAATGCATTCAATGTTATCCTCAAGGATACTCTAAAACGTGTGAATAATACAATATATTCCCTTTTATAGATATTAACAACTATAAGTTTCATTCAAGCTTTTTAGAAAATCCATAATTCTGTAATCAGATCCTTGAGCATCAACAAACATCTATACATAAGTGATAATTACTAGATTTTTATTAAATTGATTGAACAGAAGAACTATTCCAGGTAAGAAAAAAAGCTTTTGAGATGAAGCTTTCTTCATTCGATAGAACATATTGAGACTAAGCAATGCCAAGAAAGAATCATCTTCTTGAATTTTCTTTCTCGACTTATATCCAGCTTCCTAAATTTTTACATCTATATCAAGATGAGAGATGTGTGAAACCAAAATTCGAAGATTTCTCAGAGCTAAATAGAGATTAGCTCGGACTGAAACTAACGATTACAGTTAAATGTTTTGATTGTTTTCAGAGAATTTTATTATAAATCATACCTATCAAAACAAACTCAAGAGAGAAGACTAAAAAAAAGTGGCATTAGTTAGTTAAATCAATCGAATTTAGATTTTTTTTATGAATAAATTTTGAAATTGTATCCGTTTGGTCTGCATTAAGACTAAAACAGACACTTGATGCGGCATATTTCTAATCAAGATATATTATTAAAAAAAATCCAATATTGAAATTTTGATCTCAATTTTTTCAACTAATCTCATTGAGAACTTTGTGCGCACAAAATTTAAAGTCGAAATTCGATTTTCCACATGATCTGTGGGAAATGAAAAACCCATTCAAATTTCGATATCGCAACAACAAAGGTCTGAGAAAATCAAACCATTCTACACTTTTCTATTACTCATGAAATCAACACAGCTCCTGTAGAAAAGCAATTTGACATCTGGAGAGGTTCTCTCGTCAGTATTACTATACGTCTTGTTCAAAATGAATATTTCCATCCTGAATTCAAGTTTTTAGAATATACCTTGATGTAAGTCAAAAACAAAATAGGAAATTGATTGTCACTCGATAAGAAAGATCTCGCAAAATCATATAGAAGAAAATGAAAATGTAAATCGAATAAACTTAAATTGTAATTAGATGGAACAATTAATTATCATCTTCAAAGAATTCAGACTTTATTTGCTTTTATTGTAGAATTTTAAAATTTTTTACTTGGATAATACAATCAAAAATTTCATTCAAATATTTTCATTCTTCAATTAATATAGAACATTTCTTGTTCATGATAATACATTGTTAATAGATAAACAAATTATTGTATTGTTATTATTATAAGTAATTATATTTAATTGAAGAAAAGACCATCCAAACAATGCTGAAAATAAATATCAACCAAGGTTCTAACTACAAATCATGCTTCTTTCATCAATGGCATAATTGAAAGAATCAGATAATGCATATTCATGGTCAACTAAAAGTACTAAAAATCTCATCCGGATGTTATATTCCATCTGTATAAAATGAATATTTAGTTTTATACAAAATCTTCTGAACTATTCTCATTATTATATATTACACATAAAGTTAGGTATCCATCATGTATAAATTAAATATAAGTCATACATGATCATTTTAAATAAGAATAATCAACAAGTTATTTTATTTATATGTTTTTTCAATCATCTAATCATTGTAAAGTATATACATGAGTGAATTGCAATTTTTTGGTACGATTGAGTTTTAGAGGTATTTTTTGAATAATTTTTTTTCTCTTCAGCCGATTTAAACAATTTTTTTATATGATATTAGGCCCTAAGTGTCCCACATACACACAAAATTTCAGCTCTCTATCTTGTACTAAAGCTGACTTATGACGGACACATTTCACTAAAATGTCATTTTTTGATGATACGTGCAAAAAAGAACGGATAATTTGTCTATAAGAAGTTAAAAAGAAGTAAACACAAATATCATAATTTGTTCACCTTCCAGCGCTCTATCAAAATATATTATTGGTTTAAATTTTATCCATCCTCCAATCACTTGTCTAACGTTCATACTGTTTGACAGACACTTATCTATATTTGTGTAGAACGACATAAACGCTTCTGTAGTTTCTGCTGTGGTACAGCTAGCAGTTTGCAGACTGCATAAAAAGAAAAAGAACTGTTCCAGTAACAAACTAGTGTAAAAAAGTTATACTTTATCAACTTCATTTTAGTACAAAAATAACAAGACTTTAAAAAAAAATATGATTATACTCACTTTGTAGAACGACATTTTGAGAATTGTGTGTTTTATAACTCTCGAACAGATACTCCGTTTTCGCTAAAAATTTTACAGAACATAGGGAACAAAAAGTTCCATAAGTGATAAAAATGTCAGCTCTTGATCTTGTACTGTTCAAGAGAAATTCACAATATACTGAAAAATGTAGAACGACATTTTTTCTTAAAAAGTGTAGAGTGACGCTTTTTGAAAATTACTTTGTGTATAACTCGTGAAAGGCTCGTTTGTTTTCGCTCAAATTTTTACTATAGATATATTTCTTAGTTTTACATTATCGGTAAAAAATTCAGCTTTCTATCTCTTACTGTTCTCAAGATATTTACATTATATGATGAACTCTAAAATGACATTTTTCATGAAAATAACGTTTTTTTATGGTACATTTACTTTGAAGTAAGTCGTATCTCAGCTAATTTGCGGTAAAGTGTTGGGAAACTTTCGCTGTATACTACAGACATAGAGCCTAACAAAATGCACTACTCAAAAGTTGTTTAGGTTCACTTTCGTTTTCTCTCGTCAATCGTACCAAAAAGTTGCAATTCACTCACATATTCAACTCATACTCTTTTTTTTTTAATAGCACGTATATCAACTTAGACTATCTAAGAAATCAGTGTATTATTATTTTAAAATATTTATCTATATATTTTTGTTACGTATAACATAACCTCGAAACTTTACTGATAGTTACTTATAAAATTTTTATCATATTTTTGATAAGATTTATAGTTAAATAGAAAATTTTTTCATTATCATATTTAATGATTAGTATAACGAATAGAAAAGAAAAATTTAAAAGATTATTTTTTTTATTTGTTCTTTTTATCTTTAATGAATATCAATAATTGAAATATTTCGATTGATATTCTCTTGAACATGAAAATATTGATTTCAAAAAATATAAAAATTTTTATGAAACAATCAAAGCAAGTAAATATGTCACTTTCATATTAATCTAAGTCTACATGCAATAATCAAGAGACTTAATAAATTTCTTTTTTTTTTTAGTCGAGTTTTTATTCATTAGTTTTGATAAAGAAGACTATTCATTCATCGATCATTTTTCTTTTTTTGTTTTTACTAGCTCAATTAATCTAAATTTAACTTCAATTAAATGAATAATTTATTATGATGAAGATCAATTTGTTCTTTTTATTTTTCTCTGAATGTTTCTCAGTTTTATCCTTCAAATTTTATTAACAATTCAGAAGCACAATCATTACACTAATGAGGAAAATAGGACGGCGTCATTATTACCGTTTTATATCTCCCAGGAGATACTGTCATGATGATAATAATAACGATGATTGTTTCTCTCGAACATTGAGCTTAGATCTGTCAAAGAATGAAAAAACTTATGTAAAATTGTATAGACAGAATGCGACGAGTCTCTTGAGAGAAAAAAAAATAATGAATGAACAAGCAAAAAAGAAAAAAAATTCGAGCCATGAACATGCCTGGAAAGAATGTTAAAAAAAAAGATTACATCATCTTCAAAATCGATAGCACTTAAGAGATAGAGAAAAAAATGCATTGTACGGCGCTCTCGCATGTTCGCACTTATTTTCTAATTGAACATACACAACTGACAAAAGAAAAAAAAAAAAGATTGACATCTATAACAATTGTGATATCCTATCTTTAATAACAACATCATCAGTCTCTACAATGAATACATGTTGAGATTTGTCAATATTTAAGGTAACAGCAATGTTTATTTATAGTTAACTAGTGAATAAAAAACAGTGAGATATTTCTTATTATTATTATTATGATAGAAAGAACAAGAGAATATTGATTGAGTCAATTCATGATGTGAACAGAGATTATCGGTTCCGATTAATTGAACTTTTTCAACTGTGTCGCCTGGCGGCAATAGCAAGTAAAGAAATAAATTAATCTGATTTTCATGTCTATTTCGGAAGAAAAAGGAATGATCGACGGAAGTCGTTGATTTCTTTCTTCTTCATTGGGTCACGTCAAATTGATGATATCGAAACATATTATTATTTCTTGTCAGAAAAATAAAATAGACATTTGGTAATCGTGACTAAACTTAAAGAGTTATATGAAAAGAAAAAAGAAAATTTTTTTATTTCTTTTGTTTTGATTATTTCATATATACTATATACCCAATATGCATGTATCGAAATAATCTTCTTGTTAAGACGAGATATTGCATCATGAAAATAATCATTGAGAATGTTGAGCATAGAATATCAATAATAGAGTTGTCATCTTCTCTTACATATACAATCATATTGATTGAATATCGACAACAGGCTTAGTTTAAGGAAGAAATTGATGTCGAATAGACGATTTAGAATGAACAAAATTGAGATTGTTTTAAATAAAAAATTATAAAAAAAAAAAAAGAAAGCGTATGTTTTCATGTTAAAATGATATTAGATTCTTTTGTTGTATTGTCAAATCAATATTTCATTGACATACACTCTACTATCATAAACTGATGAAAGCATACGCGTGTATGCTTTTCTTTTTCTCTGTCTCTGTCTCTCTCTCTCTTTTGCTAATTCGATTAGTCGCCTCAACCCGAGCATCTATATATGAATATAAGAAGTAAGAATGAATCTCGTTAGTAAAAAGAAGAAGAATGTTTGTAACATCTCCGAGAATAAAATTGTCATATACATATTTATTTCGAGCTCGAATATAAAAGTATTTCATTTGTATATACATCAAAGAGAACGAAAGAGAAAGAATATATTTCTAATTGAATCGTCATCATCCTATCGTGTGTCAAGTATTACTACTGTATACAGAATATGAAGATGCTCATCTTCACTCATACACCTTTTGTTCCTTCCGGTCGAACAATATGATTGTGTAGTCAATAGAAAGAAGAAAAAAAATAAAATAAAACTAGACCTAAGGTAGTTACTTATTGATTGTTACTCACTCGAGACGATGATTTCTGATCCCTAAAGCAATAGGTATCACTATATTTAATATTTAATAGCTAAGATATATTACAGATTAATTATTAATTTTTTTTCCTTGTCGACGTTTGTTAGTGACACTAGAAGGCGACGACAGCATGTGTCAATTGACCTCTTTTTTTTCCTTGTAGCTAGAGGCAAGTATATATAATGAATACTGAGAATACATGACAGACAGTTGAGGTAAGTTAAACGTTGAAAAAAAAACGAATGACGATGATACATTTTCATTCTAAGATAGAAATTTTGTCTTTGACATAAGAAATTAACTTAGAAATGACAGTAATTAATAAAAAGAGATTGTTAAATAAAACATCAGATGAAATCAAATAGGCATGCGGACAACAGTAATAAAATGCAAACACATCATCAAATTCTTTCTTGTCTTTTGTTTGCCATTTGATTAATAACATCCGTACGACATACAAACGAACATCTGTCAATGCTAAATTCCAAAGTATTTGTTTATTTATTTTTTTTTTTTCTCGTTTCTGTCTATCAAATAGAGAGAACAGGTGATGGCATACATCATCATTATTTGCATAATAAGAAGAGGAAGTTAATGTTTTTCAACAAATGAATAGTAAGTACTATCGTACTATTTCACTTATTATTATTCTAACGTAAATTTCTGAATGAATTAATATAAAACACTTTACATATGGTGTTATGTAGGAAAAGAACGAGACAGTCGAATATGTATGTATGTATGTATATATATACAGAGATGTACTTTGTAAGGGAGTAAGCAAGCCTCAAGCCAATTTGCTTGAGTGACGATGAACTAGGCGATGGTGTCGAGTGCAATTACACGAAAAGAGATACGATGCTTGTATTGGCGGCTTCTTGTTTTATGATGAGAGAAATAGAAAGAAAAAAATTGATTAAAAGTGTGTGAGTATTTATAGGTCATATTGAAACAAATATATGTGTCTATATACAATAACAACAGCTAGTATTACTATTATTGATCGTTTGATATACTATTTTGATTAAGGTAAAAATTTTTTGTCTAAATATCTATACTTTTTCTTTTTTTGTTTTCAAAAATCTTATTTAAATAAAAACGATGATGATAGATGTAGCAAAGTAAAGAAAAAAAAACATCTAAGAAAGTAGTATGATAATATTATTCTTTAGTTACGACGATCATCTCAAGAAATAAAACTAAGAGACAGGCAACAGACATTTAATGCCAACGGGCATTTTGTCAATCGTTTTAATGGTCATGACATTAGTTGTTGACTTTAATAGTTTTCTATCTCAAATTGCTTGTCACAATGTTAAACAAGATATTTCCTTAAGTGATCATATAGATTTATATACGAAACAATAGTATGTGTAACATGATCATTAGTAAGATAGACAAATGCGCCTGTTTGACCATTTCCGGATAGACAGTCTAATTGACATTACTATTCGAACATTGAACTATGTTTTTTTTTTTTTCTTTTCTAGAATATTGAGATAATGGCATGATTGTAGCTTGTTTTATTTCTATCATCATGCCATGCCTTCATCCGTTTTTATTCTATATATATTTATTTTATTGATAATGTTATTTTGTTGTTATTGTCAACAACAAGATAATCATTTTATTATTCGTACTCTTGAAAAATTACCTGTTCATACAGAAGTTATTAATCTTCGACGTTTATTATTATCAACAAATAATATATCTGATAGTATTAATGCTGATTTTAGTTTAGCTAAACGTGATGAATTTCCTTATATGTTTTTTATAATAAATCATTCATCACGTGGTATATTAACAATACGTAAAGAAATTAATCGTGATGAATTATGTCGTTTACGTCGTTGTCGATGTGATACATGGTGTGATTTAGAACTTGAAATATTTGTTAATAGTGAACAATTTAATATTGAATTAATAACTATACGTATAATTGATAAAAATGATCATAGTCCACAATTTACAAGTTTAAATAATCAACTTAATTTAACTATTGTTGAAAGTGCACAAATTGGTGCAATAATTAAACTTGAACCAGCTATTGATTATGATCAAGGACAAAATGGAATAATTGGTATGAAAAATTTTATATATATATATATATGGAGATATGCTTGAGTATAAATGAAACTGATTGATGTTTTAACGGAAATAATAATGGAAATGGAAACTATGATTCTTTGCTTAGCAATGAAGTTCTTTTTTTTCTTTTTCAAAATTTTACTATAAATTTCAATATAAAATAGAGATAAGAGGGTATAGGATCTAGTTGAAAATGAAAACATAAGCGAGACTCTGGGTAGACATCTTCACATTTTTTTCAGACTCTGTCCAATATGCACAATTCAATTAAACGATCAGAAAAATTTTTTACAAGTATTCGGAATAGGGGTACAACGATACCGATCATTCACTGATCTAAACCAATAACCGATGCTACAGTTATCAGTCGAAGGAAAAGATTTCTTGATCAAACAATGATTTTTTTTCACAAAGGTTGACGAAAGTAAATTGGAGTCGAAGTATCCGAATCTGCAATCAGTTTCTCAAAATTTTACACTAAATTTTTCCACCTAAGGAAAAGCTGTTATAGAAGAATAGACCATGAAAGCAAGTATACGATTTTGAGGAATTGATTACAGATCAGAGATGTCCATCGCAGCTGAAAATCTGCCACTGCCGCACCTCCTTCGTGAAAACCGAGTTAGACTGATAACCATGGGTACGATTAAATCCTTAATTTCGACTAATCAAACAATGAATGTAATACTTAAAAAAGACAAATCTAACATTTTTTGTATTTTACAGGTTATTCACTTGTATCATCAACATCTCTTCCATTTTCTCTTCGATATGATTTAATACGTAATGATTTATGTCTTGTTGTTGAAGAAAATCTTGATCGTGAATTAATATCATCATATAAATTTGATATAATTGCATATGATGGTAATAATCAAACAGGTATATTACATATTTATTTAAATATTGATGATATTAATGATTCACCACCAAAATTTACTCAATCAATATATACAATAAATAATATAAGTGAAAATATTTCAATTGATTCAATTATAATTCGTGTACATGCTATAGATGATGATGAAGGTGTTAATGGAGAAATAACATATCATTTAATTAATCAAGATGATTGTTTTGAAATTGATTCAAATACTGGTGATGTACGTGTTCAATGTTTATTAGATTATGAAATAAAAACAATATATCAATTAGAAATTGAAGCTAAAGATAAAGGTGAAGGATCAAAAACAGATTTTTGCACGTAAGTTTAATATAAGATTGAAAATCTTTTCTTTCTTTTATATATATATATATATTTTTATTATTAGATTAATAATTTATTTAATGGATGAAAATGATAATTATCCAATTATTGATTATTATCCAAATGATATTCAAACAGATGGAAATACATTAAAATTATTTTTAAATGAATCATTACCAATTAATTCATTAATATTATCATTATCAATAATTGATTTTGATTCAGGTGATAATGGACGTGTTACATGGAAACTTGATGGATCATCATTAATTCCATTTCAATTAATTCGTTTAACAGAAAATACAGGTGAATTACGTACAAATCATTTACTTGATCGTGAATATATATCAGAATATTATTTTACAATTGAAGCAAATGATTATGGAAAACCAAAATCAAAATCAACTTATTTAAATATACATATTAATATTTTAGATATAAATGATAATAAACCAAAATTTCGACAAGAAAATATTCATACAACTATAAGTGAACATGTTAAAATTGATAATCAACATAATTATGAAGTATATCATATTCAAGCTGATGATTTTGATCAAAATCAAAATGGAGAAATTATTTATTCAATTTTAAATGAAAATAAGAATTTTTTTCAAATTGATTCACAAACAGGAATTATTCGAGCTATGATAGAATTTGATCGAAAACAACAAGATACTTATGTATTACATATTCAAGCAAAAGATAAAGGTATAGATATTATACAAGTTGTAAATCAATTGAGTTAAGGAATCTGTTTGCTGAAGAATGGCTTATTTGAAATTTTCAGAGTAGATTGATTTCAATGAGTAGAACAAAAGTTGTATATAGACTCTAAATTCTTAAATACTTCCTTCTAGAAATTATCCGAGTTATAAAGGCTAAAAATTCCTTCGATAAGCGAAAAAACAAATTTTCCTATATGTATTAGGACTTTTTTTTTCTTCAACGAAAGTGATTCAAAACTGATGGTGTTACAAGTCCATGATCCATACTCTCAATATCTTTAGAAATTATAAAGCTTACAAAAATTCGTGTCTATAGGTCATCTTCAGATCACTCTCAACTTCGTATAAATCCAGTTCTCAATAGAATTTATTAACTGTAAAAATGTCAAATTCCGCATCCTCAAATATCAATATTGAAAAATCCCCTATATAAAAAAAAACAAAATTCGTTCACACTGATTACTTAAAAAAAGTCGATCTGTACAGATCCAGCAAAGGAACGAGAGGAGAAAAGACGAAGGAATAAAAAATTTCTAAAATAAGAAAAAGTGTATAATCGATATTTATATATATATTAGTATGTGAACGCATAGGACTAACTCATATATTGAACAATGGCACGTATCTAACGATAGTCACGTCATATGTACAATAAGGAGATTATCGAAAGAAGATTACAATATATAGAAGCCAATATACAATGTAATTAAAACGATGAAATGATAACAAACTCATCGAGGATTACATCGATAACATACTTTATTTCTAACACCTTGTAGGCGATTTGATTCTGTAGAGTTGTAAACAATAATTTCCAAGCAATAGAGTCCAAACGCAGTCCGCTATACAAGCCAAAGGTTTGCAGAAAATTTTTTCATCTATTAGACTTCATGGAGTTATGTGTGTCGATCATTTATGTGAATTTCCTTTTTACCAAAATAATCAGTGCAGATAGGTAGATGAAAAAAAAAAATTTCTGAAAAGTATGGCTATCTCACTATAGAATATACTAGAAAATCTGATACTTTCCAGAGTGAAAAATTTTCTTTTTGACTATCACACAAGAAGAAACATCCCATCGATCATTTGACAAAATAATCTTTCGATGCTGCCAGTTCTTATTAAATAGCATATGGCTGATATACAAAAATCTTCTCGAAACCTAAGCAAATCATAGGAATTTCTTTTTATCTAGTAATCCAAATGAATACCTTGTTATGTATCATGCCAAAGATCTTAAAATCAATATAAATATATCAGTTCTTTGATAATGAATGTCAATATATTAAGTTTTCTGTGATCTAATTTTACTTTTAAATCAAGCAAATACTTTGTTCGGATGAAAGAAAATTTTATTGTTTTTATCCTATTCTAGGTTCATCACCATTATCATCAGAAACAACAATAACATTTACTATTATTCCTCGTAATGAATATTCACCTATATGTGATATTGATAATAATAATATATCATTATCAATAATGGAAAATAGTAAACAAGGTACAATCATTAGCACAATATCATGTCGTGATGATGATCAAGATGAACTTAATAGACAAATGAGTGTATATGCACGATGGTGGCCAGAAGAAATAGATGATAATACAATTAAATATAATATTCCATTTGAAATAGTCACTCAAAAAAGTAATTCATCTGAGGTAAGAATATATCAATTAATAATTATGACCATCTGTTACTATTCTTTGATTGTCCGAAATGAAATTATATTAAAAAAAAAGAAAAATCTATTCTTAATTAACACGATATTAAACAAATCATTAGTATGCTAATCTAATAAACGAGATTCATTGATCTATGTTTTTTTTTCTTGAACAATATTTCGATTTCAACACTCCTCGATACACAGAGCCGAATGTGAATCGCGGCTTTTAAGGAGGCGCTATGTGCGCTTCACTTTCCTATGATCTTGATCTCGAAACTAAAATTGGTCTTGCACAACTCTAGCCACGACGCAGATATAGAAGGTTTGTTACAAGTGCCAGATTTTTTTAAACTCTTAAGTAATTAAATACAACTTTCAAGTTGGACATGTGTGGCAGATACAGACGTGAGATAGCTAAAGAATGATTTTATTTGAGATTCAGCTGTATTTTGCATTTTTCTCAAAGGCTTCTTTTTTTCTTGTCACCGTTTTTCCGAAGAAATGATAAAAGCAGATTATATATGAATAAGTTGATAATATTTATTATAAATTTTGTTTTGTCTTCACTTCTGTAATAGTCAACAATTCAAATCATGATAATTGTTAATGGTTTAATAGATCGTGAGTTAATAGATTATTATCCATTACATCTTACTATATCAGATCATGGTAATCCATCACAATCAACAAATATTTCTTTATCAATAAATATTCTTGATGAAAATGATAATTGTCCACAATTACATATTGAAACATCATTTATAATGATTAATCGTGATATAACAAAAAATCAATTTTTAATTCATCTTATTGCATCAGATAATGATCAAGATTTAAATGGACAAATAACATTTGAATTATCACCATTAACATCACCATCATTTATTAAATTATATTTAAATGGTACTTTAATTATAAAAACAAATTCAAATTTAATTTATGATGATTCATTAATTATACTTCATGTACAAATACGTGATCATGGTCAACCAATACCATGTCTTATTGTTGAAACATTACGTTTATTTATTGGTTCAAATCAAACTGATTGGTTAACTATTTTGAAAAAAAATAATAATTATGATGATGCATCATTAGTAAGAGAAAAAAAAATAGTGTATCTCATAGAAAACTTCATTAACTATTCAAATTACACTATTTAGATTTGAGTTAGATACTCGGAATCACAGAAAAAGAATTAAAAACTCAGATATATTTTCGAAGAAAATAGTGAGTGTAAGTTTTAAGTCGAAATTTTGCGTCTTCCCCTATTACAAACCTTAGCCACGAAGGATAACAGACATCAGATTATTCTCTCAGAGTTCGTTAGCAACGTAAAAAGATGTTGAGGGTGGTGATGCATTGATTTGCCATAGTCGTCATATGATCAACATAAAAAAGCGTGAACTAATCATAGATATAATGGATATGCACAGCAGACTTATTTGCTAGTTAAATCAATGGTGAGAATCATAAGAAAAATGTCATACGAAAATGAAAAAAATTACGAACGAATAGTAACAAGGCAAACAAAAAATAGAAAAAAATTCGGTTTGAAATGCAGAAATAAATAAGACGGATCGCTTCTCTGATGAAGAACTATAGTCTGCGAGAGACTTCACATTACATATTTTGTATTGATATAATGAGGTTAAAAAACACATGTGGGTTCCACATTTCAGTCCGAAAGGAACTGCACTACACATCAGGTGAAAGAAACGAGATTGTACCTTTTTGAAATTTGATTAATAACGACCGATTTTTTAGGTGACTAAAATTTTGTCCCGGGTGCTAAATTTATTGGAAAAACTTAGTCACAAATTCAGTACCTTTCGAAAAAAACGTCATTTTTTTGTCAAAAAAATAAAAAGAGTTTGCCAATAAATCATATACTATTTTCAATAAAGTTTGCCGGCACATTTTCTCACTAATCTCATATCGACGAAGCTTTCGATAAATGTTCTTCTTTATCCAGGGCATATATTCATTTAGTCCAAATGCTTTCAGAGTGAGGTATCAATTTTCTAAAAAATGTCGTTTTTACAGATTTTTCGTCAATTTCTTTGTCATAAAAGCATTTTGCAAGAAAACTAATCATAGAATTTTTTTTTTCATCAATCTTATTTTTGAGTACAAGAAGCAGAGATGTCTATAGTGGCAACAGTAGATTTCCAGCCATGACGGACATCTCTGATAAGAAACAATATTTCTATGAAAATTGATTTTTGACAAAGAAAATTAGTTATGTCTAACCTACTGTATGTTAACAAGTTTTTGTTTTTCAAATTTATATTTCATTAAATATATTATTTAATCTAGCGTCTTGTTACTGAACAATTTCAACAAGGTAAACGAATGGCATATTCATTTTCTTCTATTCAATCTATAACAACAACAACATTATCTTCTTTATCTAAACATTCATTATATATAACTTCATTAAAAATTCGTAAACAAATATTTGCTGTATTTATTGGTTCATCTATAATTATTTCTATTGTTATAATAACAATAATTTTATGTTTTATTGATCGTTTATATAAAAAAACTAAAAATAAAAAATCAACAATAAAATCAAATGGTATTAATAATCATAGTCCATATATTTTAACAAATGGTAAACGTTATGCTAATTCATCACCTTTCAATACAAAATTTTCTTATGAAAATGAATCACCTACACATAATTATACAAATTTAAAATCTATGAAACCTATTATTATTGTTGCTTCATCAAATTCTCAATCATCATCATCATCATCATCTGTTGATTCTACAACACGTGTTAATACAACAAATAATCGTATAATGAATACAACATATTCATATACAGCTATTGGAACAAGTGATGAATTAATGCCTATTGAATATGATGATAATAATGATGATATTCATAGTGGTATTGAATTGATGATGACTACTGTTTAATAAAATTGACTTATGTAGAATTCTTTATAATGAGTGTATTTTTTTAGTTCCATTATGTGAATAAATAAATAAAATTAAAAAATTAAAAACAAACAAATCTGTAAAGAATAAAATTTATTATTCTATAGCCATTGTCAATGATATTGAGATTTTATTTGAAAAATAGAAAGTTTTAAAGAAATTTTTATCTTTCCTAACAATGATCACAATAATACAGTTAGTCTGAGACGACAGAGAGAGAGAGAGAGAGGTATTTTTGAAGTTCAATGGTAATGTAGCAACAATTGGTATAACTCTTGATGATATTTCTGTATATCCTTTTGCAGAGTATAAAATAAAATTGTCCTATAAAAGACTTCTTATTATTCTACTAGATATTTGATTTTATTGTGAATAAGATATAAAAATTCTAATTGAAACTGTCTAAAACGAAGAAAGAATTAATGTTATTCCAGATATCTAATTAATTATCCTTTCTTTTCTTCTATTTCCTTTAAACTAAAAAGATTTATTTTTAATCATGTAAAAAAACAGATTTTTTTCTTTCATCACATCAAGACAACTATACGAACGCCTACGTCTATTCTTTAGTCATGTTTTTTTTATCTACATTACCTCAGAACATACTTAAATTTGTCGGATGAATTCATTCATAGAAAGAACAAATATTCTTTTCACTTTTACTTCATATGTATATATATAAATATTAAAAAAAAAAACTTCTTGTGTAATCAACTTATAAGATCTTACAATTAAATGTAATTATATAGAAAGAAAATAATCCTTTACAAGTATTTTGTACTTATTATTAATAGTTTTATGTTTTGTGACTAAATAAACACGTTTTTGTTCTTGTTTTTTGCTTGCTCTGTTTGATTTTTCATTGGCGATTGTATATTATACTTTTTTTTTTATTCAGAATTTTGTGTTTTATATGAAGAAAACAAAAAAAAAAGAAAACGTTGAAAAAATATATAATATTAATAGGTACGAATATTTGTTATTCGTAGAACAATGTGAGAAACATGTGATATATAGTATGTAAAATTATTATTTCAATATGCTGTGATACATTTCTCGTCAATGAAATTTTACAATGAAGAAAGAATATTTTCTTCACTTTTATTATATCATTCGATAGATTAAAGTCTTTGTATTATTCCTACAAGAAAAAAAAAATTTCCTTTAAAAAGATTTTTAAAAATTTTGAAAGATTTTTCGATAAAATACTTAATTTCCTATGCAAGAAAAAAAATCTATTTGCATACTTATATTTATTCTTTTTATATCGTTTTTTATGCTTCAGCAAAATACTTCGAGTTATACCCTTATTCAATAGCAAAAAAATATTTTGCTTGTCACAAACAAAATAAAATCTATCGATAAAATCCTGCAAAAAAAAAAACTCGAAATATTTGAAGTTTCATAGGTTTTACTAAAAGTATATTATTTATTTAGAGGAAACTAAACTGAATCGAACAAAATATCTTTCATTTTCAAACATAATTAACTACACGAAATAATAATAATAATTTCTGCAATTGATTAATATTTTTAGTATTTATATCCATAATAATATTTTACTTCTGTCGTCATAGTAACATTCCAGTTTCGAGTAAGAAAAAGTTTAAGAAATATCTAATAGACAAGAACAGTCTATTGAAAAATGTGTTTCTTTATAAAAAAACATATCATGAAGTTACATTAGAGATCTTTTACAACATATCATGAAAAAATTCTTTAAGTTCTCTAGATGAGAAACCTATTAGCGTAATCTTTGTAAAGTTAAAATGTGAAACACGATGTCACTGTTGTTGCTAATCATAGAGAGATTATTTTATTCTATCGATTTTCGAAAATATTCCTTTACCATCCTTTTAATTCATTCCTCAGAAATACAATAAGGAAGTAGTTCATATATTATAACGAGACATCTAAAGACATTTTTTGAAACACTCATAAAACAAAATACTGAATGTGTAATCAATTGCTGTTTTTTCTTTAAATTGTTTTCTTTGCAGACAATCATATTCATTGAAGTTAACTTGGAATTAATATCTATGCCAGTGATACATTTCGCTGTAAATGAATTGAAACTAAGAAGTTTTGGTGAGACTATCGAAAAGTATGACGTTTTATTTTTTTTGAAGGACTCGATAAATATTATATTTGCAAATGAAAGATATGATTCGATTCAGTTTAGTTTCCTCTATTGAATGATGTATCTTTAGTAAAACCTATAGAGCTTCAGATATTTCGTGTTTTCTTAAGGTTTTGAGAAAGATCGTAAGTAGTCAAGATCGAGAAAACTGGTCTTTTGTGTAACGCTAACGAGGAAACTAAACGCACTGGTATCCGCCGTTTAAGCACATATTGGATTCACAAAGAGGTCTTGGTTATACTAGAAAAAGTTTAAAAGAGTTCACCTATATGGATCTTTGGAGCCGAGTTATGACCGTTTTACTGAATCTTCATCCCAGTTTTAGATACTTACTGGAAAATCAAATAATGGAATTTCAACCTGAAATTTTGTTCGTAAACATGTAGAATGACCAGTAAAATATCCTGAAAGTGTCAGACAAAAAGAATTTTCATTTATCGAGATATGGAATTTTCAAGTGAACTCGATTTTTATGGCATATCTTTGGCAAACTATCAATTTTGGAAATTCAATATCTCGACAAAGAAATATTCTTTTTTTTCCTAAAACTTTCAGGATATTCTAAGAATCATTGAATTTATCTATAGGCTAAATTTCAGGTTGAAATTCTGGTTTTTTTTTTAATTTTTCCATATATAACTAAAGCTGAATTGAAAATTCAATAAAACGGTCATAACTCAGCTTCAAAGGCCTATGAGGATGAACTCTTTTAGACTTTTGCTAGCCTAACCAAGGCATCCTTGTAGACGCAATATGAGCTCAAATAGCAAGTATCAATTTGGATAGTTTTCTTGTAATTACAAGAAAAGAATTTCAATAAGATTACTATAAAAGAAAGAAATTCTGAAATTTATTAACTCTGTAACAGTAATATTGTATTCATCTCGATAATGTTAAAAATAATCCTTATTGATCAGAATTCTTTTCTTCTTGAAAAAATTAATCAATTTTTTTCTGATAATAAGTCAACTAAAATATCTGTAAAACAATATAATATATCTAGATATGAGTGGGATCAATCGTTTTTTGGTTCCGATTCCATCTTGAAATATATCTTTTAATAAATTTTCATTCGATTTTTGAATTTATAATTTCTTATAAATTGATTTTGACTTACAGAACTCTACCATTAAGATTCAATAAATTTAAAACTAAAATCATATAAAATATTGTTAACTCAAATAGAAAACAAATATTTCAATTTGATATTGAATCTAGATAGTTCGAGAGTAATATCTAATTAAAATCATAAATAAATACTATACACTTAGATCTCATTTCTATACAATGAAAACAAACAATCGGTTTTTTTTTATATAATATTCTTTCGACAAGAATTCAAAATTAATTTACTTTATTTATTCATTTATAAAACTTATAGATTATTTTCTTCTAATTATACAAAAAACAAAATTTCTCTAACAATCACACATATTAAAAATTGTCCTTATCACTGTGATTTCAATAACGTTATACACTTGCGTTCAGATCAACAAATCAAATCATTCATACTTCCTCTCAATTTCATTATAAAACTTAAAGAACGAGCAATATCTCATGAGCATACTTCAAGTATTCATAATATATATAATTTGCACGTATCCAAAGATGTTGTTTAGGATGCATCGATGTAAAAATAATTTTTTTGATTTTTATAATGATTAATAGAAAAATAAGAACGGCAGATGTCAGGATTGTTCATTAATATTATATTGTATATAAAAATATCCAATCAAATATTTTAAACGAAAGGAGAAAAAGCATCCTTAATTTTCATTGATTTTCTTTCGACAGCAGTCGTCATCATGATTATCTCATCTCATGGTAAACGACGAGTACATATAGATTCATTATTTTTCTTTTTTCCGTTTTTTTTTTTTATTGTATTTTTAAGATACAATGCTGTCCCTATAGGAAAATTTCTGTTCTTTTGTTTTTGTTAATGTATATTTGAAAAAAACAGAAAAATTACAATAATAAATATGGGATTTTTATTTTCAAAATTATGGGCTTTATTTGGTAAGTTAAAAAGCAAAAAAAATAATTTTCTAATTATATAATTTAATTAATATAGGAAATGAAGAACATAAAATAATAATTGTTGGACTTGATAATGCTGGTAAGATAAAAGAAAAAATTTCTTAATTTTATTATTATTATTTAGTTTATATATATATATATATTTTTTTAAAAAAAAAACTAAAGGTAAAACAACAATATTATATCAATTTTTAATGAACGAAGTTGTTCATACATCACCAACAATTGGTTCAAATGTTGAAGAAGTTATTTTTAAAAATATACGTTTTTTAATGATGGATATTGGTGGACAAGAATCATTACGTTCATCATGGCAAACATATTTTGCTCATACAGAATATGTTATATTAGTTGTTGATAGTACAGATCGTGAACGTTTACCATTAACAAAACAAGAATTATTTCATATGTTACAAAGTGAAGAATTACGTACAGCATCTGTTTTAATATTTGCTAATAAACAAGATATTAAAGATGCTATGTCATCTGCAGAAATATCTAAACAATTATGTTTAACATCAATTAAAGATCAAGCATGGCATATACAAGCATGTTGTGCATTAACAGGAGAAGGTCTATATCAAGGTTTAGATTGGATTGCTTCGAGAGTTAAACGATAAAAAAAAAAAAAATTTTTTTTCTTTTTGTTTATTTATATTTCTTTTCTTTTTTTTTTTTTTATAAATATATACATTTCTCTTTTGTCATAGCACAAAAATCTATTTGAATTTAATCTCTACTCAAAATAATTTTTTTTGTATTTAGATGTATAATGAATGAGATAATTCAAAAAGAAAAAAACAGAACCAAAAATTTCTATTTTTTAGATCGAATATTTTTTTATTAGATTTATAAATGTCTGGAAAAATAACTTTAGCTGTTCATGATGAACTTCATAATCAATATGCTGAAGGTATCAAATATGATTTATGGCGTATTGATAATAATACAAATCGTATTCATGTTAAAAATGATACATTTACAAAGAATAATTCAAATGTATTATTACATGCACATACAAATGAAGAACTCGGTTCATTTGAAGTTATACTTTATATTAAAGATTATTTTGATAAATTTAATGAAAATATTCATGTCCAAAATAGTCGAATAACTGTTCCATTTGGTATGAATGAACTTGATAAAGATTATGAATTAAATATTTTTATTACACCAACAAGTTATACATGTACTCTCTAGAGAAGATACAATGGAACACAAACATTTGCATGCATTTAATCCCGATTAATAAATTAATCTCTTCTATTAATCTACTATTCACATCTAATCTCTTTTAATTTCTATATATTTTTTTAAAACCCTTTCTCTAACATAACAGTATTCATTTTTAATAAAAAGAAAATAACCTGTGAAATTTCTCTTCAGATAAAAAGAAAAAGATGGATAGTCCAACAAATTCACCTCGTGTATCAACAAGTTCAGTACCTCTAGCTGTATCAATTGATGGTCATAATTGGTCTTATTGGGCATTTGTTTGGCTTGGTCTTGGTTCATTATTACCAATAAATTTTTTTATAACAGCTGATCCATATTTTCGTTATAAATTACATGATTCTAAAATGCCAAATTCATCAGCATCACGTCTTGAATTATCATATGAAAATGCTGTTACAGTTTGTGCATCTGTACCAAATTTAATTGTAACAATTTTAGTTACATTTATTTGTGTACCATATATTCATAGATATAGAATATATACATCATTAACTGGTATAACAATAAGTTTATTAATATGTTTTGCACTTATTTTTGTTAATGTTAATCAATGGCGTGAAATATTCTTTATTATAACTATGATACTTGTGATGATTCAAGGTGTTTTTTCTGCTATTTTACTTAATTGTTTCTTTTCATTAGCATCAACATTACCTAGTCGATATATACAAGGTAATATATTATAGTTTTTTTATTAATAGGCTTATTGATTAAAAAAGAGAAAAAGTTTGTTATTTTTTTTTTTTGTAATCTATTTAGATAAAATAGTTGTATGAGAATAATATATGGAGGAGATTTCTTTTTCTTTTTTTTTGATTTATCTATGTAAGTATTAAGTTTGTTTAGCTATGCTGCTTTGTGTATTCTATCGATAAAAGTCAATAAGATTATATTATTTTGTGATTTATAAGATAAATTCATAAAAATAATCCTTTGATGATGTAAGTTTACACTATATCTATCTTGATTATTCTATAGACAAGTGTAAATTAATATTCAATATATTGAATTTCAAATTAAAATAATATGTAAATTAGAAGAAGAACAATATTAGAGAAGTAGTTCAATTTTTTTTAGTAGAAATATACTGCTTCAGTTTGACTAAAGAAATTGTAATTTGCAAAATAAAGATAATAAGGAGAAAAACGAAACGTGAATAATTTAGGTCTATTTGAGTCATATTAATTCGGATACATTCATCTAGAATTTATTATCTAGTACAGTGGTAGTATAGCTACTCGGAAAGCAGAAGATGTATGGTTCGATTCGTTGCAAAGGGAGATTATTCTTTTGTTCTGTTCTATTGTCATATCATTATGTTGCTATTTTATTTATAACATGATCAAATTTTGATGCTTTAAAGAGATAACTAGAAAACACAGATTTGTGGGGAGATATTTTAAAATGTTCAATTTTCTTCAGTGACAAGAACAGATTTTGTTTACTTTTTACACATATTCTGCTCAATTTTTAACCCTTCATGCGGTTATTGTGGATAATTTCTGTTGATCACGTTCAGTACCGCTTGAATAGCTTATAATCAAACTTCCTTCAAATTGTTTTTAATTTCATTGTAAACTATTGTCGGATTTTTGTTGAAATGTCAATCACCATTTTTTGAATAACTTTCGATCGTTTATAGCTGTCGAAGTCGGATTTTCGCCATTAGATAGAGCAATGTTAGAAGCTTCTATCTGTATAACATTCACTAAGTTCGAAGAAGTTTTTCAAGGATATTTGGAGTTGAATATTTTTTTTTTTTTGTTGTCCATCTCAACAACTTTCGTAGCAACCTATACTCAAATTACACCAAAATATAGTCCAAAGAGAGCTGTATTATCGATAAAATTTCAAGATTTCAAAATACTTCTCTTGAAGCATGAGTCCAAGATGAAAATGAAAAAAGTCGAACAATTATACAGGAAGTACCACACTCTTCGAACTACATTTTGGTGTAATTCGAGCATAGGTTACTACGAAAAGTTGTAGAAATGGACAACAAAAAAAAATGTTCAGCTGGAAATATTCTTGAAAAACTTCTTTGAACTTAATGAATGTTACACAGATAGACGCCCCTAATATTACTCTATCTAATGGCAAATACTCGACTTCGATAGCTATAAACCATCGGAAGTTATTCAAAAAATGGTAATTGACATTTTTTTAAAAAAATCCGACAATTGTAATAGTGTCGTATATTAATCTAAATTATTAATCTGTAATTCCTACGGACTGCAAAAATACAATAGACATTCTATTAAATTTAAGAACATCGATTATTCTACTTAAATCGCTAGTTTCATAAATTTCATAAGCAAGAACAAAATTTAAGCTATACTAAATGCATAAAAAAAAAGCTGCTAGTACAATCCCTAGCGGGATTAAAATGTGCGATATGATGTAGCTGCTACTGCTAATCACTAGAGTCCATTGGATTGATCTCAGGTTCGATGGGCTCTAGTTCTCTGAGAAACTTATAGAATGCCATAGTCACTGCATACAAAAAACGGGAAAAAAAGTATCGCGAATCTTCGAGGTAATTATTCGATTTCAATTAGTCATTGAGAGTATCAAAGTATGGTTCAATCGGATCCGACGGAGCTCTATTATACGATAATGTCGAAGAATGTGGATTTAAATTTTTACTCCTATACTTCAACATTCCTTTTAGATTGTGTTTGATACAAAAAAAAAAAAAGATTTTTCTTATTTTAGGACTTGTTACTGGTCAAGCGCTTGGTGGTGTATTTGTTGTATTATGTTCAATAGCATCAATATTATTTTCAAATGATATATCAATTTCAGCAGCTATTTATTTTCTTCTTGCTATACTTGTACTTATATCAAATATATTAACATTTATTTATATTGAAAAATCTCATTTATTACAAATTTATTCATCATCAATACAAGAAATAAATAATGAATATGAACCATTACTTCAATCATCAACATCATTAGATGATAATTATATTAATTCAATGAATATAACATCATTAGCATTACGTCAACGTTTATATGTTGCATATAAACATACAAAATGGAATTTTTTTGGTATATTTTTAACATTTATTTGTACATTATCACTTTTTCCAGCATATATGTCAAAAATTCGACCAGCATATCCATCAATAAATTATCCACATACAATGTGGACTGATCGTTTATATGCTCAAGTATTAACATTTCTTTTATTTAATGCTGGTGATACACTTGGTCGTGTGATATCATCAAAAATACAAATGCCATCATTATTAAAACCACGTCTTCTTTGTTTTCTATGTTTATTAAGATTTTTATTTATACCTTTATTTGGTTTATGTCATTTTCCAAATACAAATGGTTATCCATATATATTTAAAAATGATTTTATTTATGGTTTAATTGTCTTATTATTTGCTATGTCACATGGTTATTTTAATTCAATTAATATGATGTACGCACCAAGACGTGTTCATGCACAATTAAGTAGTACTGTTGGAGCACTTATGCTTATGGTATGTTTAATATTATTCTATCAATCATAATACATTCCATCTAATACTATCAGTTCACATGTTTTATATGACTATTGTGGCATAATAATACATCATTATCTATTATCTTTGATAGTTTGATTATAAATTTTTATCTGTGGGGGAAAATCAAAAATCCTATGCCATTTTAGTCTCGACTTCAACATGAAATTATATAACAAATCTTTTATAAGCACTACTGTCGATTATCAAGATAGTATCGAAAATTGATCTCTACTTTGGATGTGTTATATGTGCCTAGAAAATAAATAGTGGCAGTCCGTATTTCAAATATATTGTCACTATAAAAATATATTTAACAGAATGCTCTTGGAGTGTATATTTATATTTTAGTTTGCAATTATGCACTATCCAAATACATCGAATGTAATTACGATGCATTCATCACTAGATTCCTACGAATTGAATTTTTTTATTGTCATCAAAAATTAGGTTTTTTTTTATCACTATATAATAACCTTTTAAAAAAAAACAAATAATTATATATTCGGATAGAGCTTGAAATTCTATATCATCCTAGATATAGTTACCTATTGTCTTACATTTATTTGTAGCAACAAATAACTGAAAAATATATGGGATAATAGAGAAGTTCAAGCTCTATTAGAATTCTATAATTAATTTTCTTTATAATCGAAAGCTAAAATATAAACGTACAGAATGATAGAAAACTCCAAGAGCTTTCAGAATCTATAATTATTTTATTTAAATATTTTTTTTTTATAGTGGCGATATATTTAAAATAGAGATTGCCACTATTCAATTTCAGGCGTATGTATACTAACGAGTGGTTCATAAAGAGTGAATCTCGCAATATTTTGCATTTTTCTCAGCAGTCTTTCAGGGTAATGAAATCATTTTTTTGTTGATAGGTGCTTCGTTCGATTTTTCACAAAATTCCATCTTTCACTTAAACGTAACAGCATAGGTAGACCCTATGAAACGAATAGATTCTCAGAATACATCACTTTCAAAATTCATTATTTTTCATCAACCTTTTTGAGTGATTTTATCAGTCTTGCTTTTAATCATACAATGTTTCAATCAATTACCAGTTTGAAACTAACAAAATGAATTTGGAAAGTGATGTACTCTATATCCTTCTATTTCATTGGATCTAGGTATGTAGCTTCGTTTAAGTAAAAGGTACAAATTTGTAGAAGATGGAATCTGAAATCTATCAAAAAAGTAATTTGTACTCAAAAAACATTTTTTAATCTAAAAATAATTTATTGACACAAATAAATAACAGCAAAATTTCTTAGGATATTGTTAGAGATATACATTCTCTGATATTATGCTACAGTTATCGTATTTTAAAATGATTTTTACAGATTGGTTTTTTTTGTCGTTATTCGAGTTTACAAGCATTTATTTTTATTTAGGCATTGACATCTGGTTTACTCGTTGGTTCATTATTATCCTATG